TCAATAAATGGATTTTCTCTTGGCTAAAACTTACAACAGAGCTGTAAGTTGTTAGCCAAGGGGCTTTATTCAATGCATACAGTCAAATCATAATTATCTGAGATATATTCAGTTGATCATACTCCTTTACATTTCAGGAAATAATACTCCTTTGCATTTCTCAGTGCTATAGATGTTACAAAAAGTGCTTTCATATGCATTGCTTCATTAGATTTCCAGGATAATTTAGAGATGCTGTCATACCTGATTTTTAGGTGAAGAAACAAGTGGTTTCTAGGCATTTCAAGAGGCTAACACAGTTGCCCTCCAACTTGTATGGCAGAGGTAGGAAAAGAAGGCAAGCTTTCCAGCTGCCAATACAGGGTTTTTCCTACCATACTTCACCACCTCCAAGGCTAAAGTTAAAAGAGGACATGATTATCACATGAAAAAATCTGGTTTGTATCTGCCTAACGTGTATTTATAGTACTTGGTGACTTATTTTAATGTAACCTATGGTTGTTTTTGGTTGTAACAGTCTGACTCCATTTTCGAAAACAGATTTTAAACACTTAAGTTATAGATCTGTGGTATCTAGTATGGTAGCTACTAACAACTTATAGCCATTAATATTTAAATTTCTATTTTAATTAAAATTAAGGAAAATGCAAAATCCAGTTCTTCAGTTTCTCTAGCTACATTTCAAGCATTCAATATCCACATGTGGCTAGTGGCTGGTGCAGATTATAGAACTTTTCCATCACCAGAGAAAGCTCCATTTGACAGTGCTAATATACAATGCCATTTCCAAAGAAAGAGAATTCTAGAAAAAGTCACAAACATCTTGAGGCAGGTACAGTGCTGTCACTCATCCATTATTGAAGGTAGTTTAGGACTAAAAAAGATGAGAACAAAGAGGAGAAATAGAGAGATTGCTCTTAGGTATACACACCCTGAAAAGAGCAAAGGCATTGCTTTAGCCATGAATAATTTGATATATAGAAGATCTAAACCACTGAGGAGGCTTTGAAGCACATGGAAATAGAAACAGGATCAAAAACCAATTGGTTACAAACTCAGCTTAATCACAATTCATTTAAATGATACTATTGATTCTTTGTACATAGTTATTTGTCTTCTGCTCTATATAGTATGACATGGTTTGCATCTTTAAAGGGGAATTAAAATACTTCTGGGGATTTTTTAGATTAGTTCCCATATCCACATAAAAACTACAAAAACAGGTAAAAAGTATCTTCTCATTTATTCACTAATCCATTCAAATTAAATATAAAAATCAAAGCATCCATAGTGATATTCAAAAAAGTGAAAGTGAAAAAAACAAAATTCATTTGTCCGGTGGAGCTGGCTAATTCACCAAATCCTTACTCTAAAAAATGGTAATCAAAAAAAGAAAGAAAGAAACATATATTCTGCCTTTCTAGAAGGAATTATGTTTCAAGATAACCAATTAGCCCAGTTGTGAGGAAAATGCCCAGTTTATAGAAAAACGCCTGCTAAAACATGTAAATAGAATTAGAGAATTAGAAAAAATCACCATTTTGAAACCCCTAATGAAGTAATCAACTCAAGGAAGAATCACTAATAATTGCCAAAACAACTGGGTAAACTTGATACGGAACCGAATATGCACATGGTACAAAGTTTACCCCACAGGCTACTGGCTTGACCCAAGGAAGAAAATAATGGAGGGTATAGGAAGGGACCATCATAACTCTGCAATCATCTCAGCATCACTAATTATGGGATATGAATACACACCATCATCTATGAAAAATTCTTGGGGAAAAAAGTTGAACCTGAATCCAATTAAGCCTTGCTTAATTGGATGAATGCTTATGTCCTCCCAAAATTCATATATTGAAATCCTATCGCCCAAGGTGATGGTATTAGGAGGTGGGGCTTTTAGGGAGTCATTAGGTCATGAGGGTGGAGCATTCATTATTGAAACTTGTGCCCTTATAAAAGAGATGCTGGAGAGAGAGCTAGTTTCTTCCACTATGTGAGGTCACAGCAAGAAAGCCCAATCTTATGAACCAAGAAGCTGGCTTTCACTAGACACCAAAACTGCCAGTACCTTGATCTTAGAATTCCCAGCCTCTAGAACTGTGAGAAATAAAAGTCTTGAGATAAATAACCGAACGCAATGTGTGTTCCTTGATTGGAAGAAACTAGCTTCCACAAACCAACCATAAAAGACAGTTCAGAATGATTAAGGAAATCTGAATGTGGACTGGGTAATAAATGATATAAAAAAGACATTTTTTATTTTGTTTGAAATGATATTGTAACTATATAGAAAATGTTATTTTTTAGAGCTTTATACTGAATAATTAAGGGGTAAAATACGATTTTCTTTAATATACTTTAAAACAC